ACCACAGCCACTCTGCCCACCCCGGCCGCGGGCAGGTCCCAGTGGTGCCGGGACCAGCGCCCGGCCGCTTCGTGCGGGTCCCCCCTCGCGTCCTGGCTGATTTGCTGCACTGCGGGCAGTGTCTGGGGGAAAAAGCAGCTGCTTGGGGTGGCTGGGAGGGCTGGCGCAGAGGTGTCTGCGTCCTGCAGCCGTCCCTGGGCAATGGGCCTTCCTGGGGCCCTGTGTCTGGTGGGGTGGCGCTGTCACTGTTGCGGTTGTGTAGAGCAGCTTGCAGAGGCGCTGGGGTGCAGCCTTTGTGGCATCCCTGGTGCTCCCAGTGCTGGGGTGTCCCTGGTTCCTGATGCCACAACCTCCTAGCTGCAGTCACCCCCATGGTGCAGTCCGCTGGCACTGGGGCTTCACCAGCCTCAGAGCTTGGAGCATCCCAGGTTCCCAGAGCTCATGCCCTCCCCAGGGCTCTGGCACCTTCACTTTCCCTTCATTTCACCCTGGAATCCTGGTGTTCAGGCATCCCTGGGGCTTGCAGCACCGTTGGGTACCCTGCTGCTTAGGTGTCCCCATTGTCCCCATGTCTCAGTGCTTGGGCCACCCTTGGGTCTGCAGCAGCCCTGGGGATCCGCTGCGGTGACATCCCCAATCCCATTTCCCTGCTGACGTCCTGGATTGCATCGCGTTGCATCCGGGACTTGCAGCATTCCTGGGACTTGCAGCATTCCCGCGGCTCCCCCCCTCCAGCCTCCTGCCTGTGTCCCGTCCCCACGCTGGGCCGTCCCCTGTGACGTCCCATCCCCGGTGTCCCCATGCTTGGGCATCCCGGGGCCGGTGCTGGGGCCTCCCTCGCCGCTTTTGCTGGCGCATCCGGCTGCTCCCGCCCCCCGCGGCGCTGGGCGGCGGTGACAGCGGTGACAGCGGTGGCAGTGGTGGTGGTGGCATCATGCTGCGCTGCGTGCTGCACCGCGCCGCCCGCCTCCGCAAGGGCGACCCCGTGGCCAGCCTGACGTTCCGAGGTGAGGGCACAGGGACCCCGGCCAGCCCCTCCGGAGCCAGGCGCAGGGCGGGAAGCTCCATCCGTGGCTGGGAAATCCCGAGGGGATGGGAGGCGCTCGGTTCCCCTGGGGCACTTTGGGTCTGTCACTGAGCGCCGTCACTCACTGGACGGTGACACAGGGGGAGGCGCCGCTGCAGGGTGCCCTGTCCCGCGGGGCGCCCATGGGTGCCATTGGCTGCACTTGGGTTTTGCTGCTTCCGAACGTGAAATATCCGAAGAGCCTCGTCCAGGGGCTCGTCCCGGAGTGGAAGGTGCTGGAGGATGGAGCTGCCCTCTCCAGGAGCACCCATGGGTGTCACAGGCTGCAGGACACAGTGGAGCAAACAGGGACCTGGCCGGACAGAGCGGGGCAAGTCCTGCCCTGCAAAGCTCCTTCAGGAGGCAGTTTTAGGGACAGCATTTTCCAGCGGCTGGGAAACGTCTAGGGTTTAAATAGGGAAGTCAAGGGGGGCCAGAGGTGCTGGGTGCCATCAGTGCCCAGATCCTTGTAGCTCCTTTTGCCTTCGGTTCCCAGCTGGGAGGTGGACATATGGACATATGGCCGCTTTTAGTGTGGAAAGTGGTGCTGTCAGGAAAGCCGCGCGCGCCAGGGCTGCTTGGGCATCGTGTGGCCTTTCCCTGGGAGAGGGACTGGAGGCAGAAGATGAGTGTTAAGTTAAGAATATGCTTGAGTCCCTGCTCCTTTGGGATGCTCTGCAGAGCTCCGGGGCCCAGGAAACATCCCATGGATCCGTTTGCCGGCGTGTGCAGCTTTCCTGCTGCCTCCGAGCTGGACCCTGTGCTATTTCAGGAGCGGAAGATTTAACAGAGCTTCTTTAAAATCCCAAATAGGAAAAGATTAATTTGGCAGCACTTAACTCGAGGTGGGGACGGAGGGTCGGGAATTCGGCCGGGTGCTGCTGGGCTCCCCGCCAGCCCCGCGCTCCCGGCGTGTCCATCCGAGCGCTTCGGCGGCTCCCGCGGCCACCTCCGGCCCTTGAGTCACCGCTATTGTTCTCCCCCAGCCACCTCTTCCTTTTCCTTTTCCCCTCGCGCTCCGTGTCTCGAGGGGCGGCCGCGGGGCCGGATATCGGGGCTGGGCGGTGGGCGATGCCGCGGGGGCTCTGGGCGCTGCGCGAGGCCCTGGGTCCCGTCTGGGCCATGGGGGATGGAGGGTCCCGCTGGGCTCCTCGCTGTGTGTTCCAGGTCCCTCCTCTGCTCGGCTTTCCCAGCGGGAAGCAGCCCTGGTGCATGGGGACGGGTTACCATGGCTTCCCTGCAGCCTTGGGGCTTCCCACGACCCATCCAGTGCTGGTGTCACCCTGGGGACGTGGCCTCCTTCGAGTGGGAATGTGTCCCAGCTGGAACATCCCTGTTCCTCCCCTTGGAGCTGAGGGCCTGATCCGGCCCCTGGGATTCCATGTTTCCCTCTGAGGTCCCCAGATAGTGGCACCGTGTTCAGGGCTGTTTGGTGCCCAGGGTGCAGGGAAGGCCCCGCCAGCCCCATCTCAACCAAGTGTTTCGCTCCCCACAGGCATCAAGAAGAAGACCAAAGTCATCAAGAACAATGTGAACCCCGTGTGGAACGAGGTGAGTGGGGCCGGTGCCGCAGGCACAGCCCGTGCAAGCTCTCCCACCCCCAACAAGGGAGGAGATGCCCATGTCTCTGTTGGCATCCTGAAAGAGGGTTGCATGCAGCTCAACCCCATACAAGACACCAGAGAATCCCGCCGAATGCTGGATTCTGCCGTGGAAAGGGCTGGATGCAGCAGCAAGCCGTGTGTTCCCACCCCGTGGGGAGAAGGGCCGATCCGGCCCTGGGCCCTTCCCCATCACTGAGCTCCGAGCAGGGCCGGGCACGTGGAGGAAAGGAAAACTCTGGGAATTCTGGAGGCTCGAGGGAGCCTCCTTGTCTTATTCTTAGCCCTCTCCCAAGGAGGTGGCGGCTCTTGCCTCACCGCTGGCCTCGACCCTTAGCGCGT